TAACAGAGATGTGAATGAAAATATTAAAATTCTCTTAACTGCAATTTCGCTGATTGAAGCAATTGATTTATGACTCCATTTACATACAATTTAAATTTCAATTCTCTGTCACAAACAAATGCTTCAATGTTGATACCATAAAGGCGTTAATTTGAGTGACTGCAATTCCATAAATGAGATTCAAGCTGATGGGAGTGGAAAAAGAGTCTGACACAAATAATGCCTAGTAGAAAGTATAGAAAACAAACTCCTTTCAAGAAAGAGATGGCAGAAATCACTAATGGGAATCAGTTAAACTAGGAAGGCCTGGGAGAAGAGGCCCTTAAAAGGTTTCTCTGTAAGAGACACTATATATTACCAACTTGCCAAACAATAATACTTCAATATATCTTTTCCAACATGGCACAAAAGACTGGCTCCAAAATGATTAGGAAAACCAACACTAGTCATGACTATAGAGTCCATACATGGCATAAGTTGGCACTGAAAGCAAGGACCATTCTGTATAAAAAGCCATATTAAGTTAGGTCCTGGGCCTCGCCCAGATACATGCAGCTCATTTACAAGTGTCGTAACATCTGCCACTCCTTTACCAATTATCTAAGGGACTCACCGAGAAGTGCTCGACACTGCTGAGCAGTCTCTCCAGGTCCTATTGCTATAGTAACACTAAAACTTAAGCTTAATTTAAATGGAAACATTTCCCCGAGTTTCCTTTCCTATAGTCTCTACTAAAGGAATTTCTAATATAGACAAAAACAGAGCAGATATCAAACTCCCACGTATGTATCACTTGTTTTCAACAACTTGGCATATGCCTGCAATCCCAGCATTTGAAAGGCAGAAGCATCAAAAGGATCAGAAGTTCAAGGTCATCCTTGGCTGCCCAAAAGATTGAATTTGGCTTGATCTACAAGGAACCCAGCTTCATAAAACACAAAGAAATTATCAATCACCACAAATCTTGTTTCCTTCTCCTCTACGCCATTTCATCAGTAAATATTTCAGTTAGATTGTAAATTATACAAATTGTTCACAGGTATATCCATTTTGTAGCATTAAATATATATATGTATATATATATATGTATATATATATATATATATATGGTTTCTCCTTATATTTTAATAAGACAAGCAAAAGTAACAATATTGGTTAGTTTGTTGTTTTGGGACAAGGTCTCTGTATAACCCAGGACAACTAGAACTGGCTTAATTTATCAGGCTGGCCTTGAATTTTCAATTATCCCGCCTCAGTCTCCTGAATGCTAGAATTAAGGTGTATAGTGTCAAACCTGGTTTCACTTTTCGTCTTTCTCAGGGTTGGTAAAGGGCTATTATTAATTACCTCCCCTAATATACAATCTAATCATTAGCAGCGAGTGTTACAGATTTAATAGACATCCAGGAACCTGGAAGATGGTTCAGTTGGTAAAGTGTCTGCTATGCAAACATAAGAACCTGAGTTCAGATATCCAGTACCCATGTAAAATTCAGACATGGCGGCACACATCTGTAACCCCACCACTGGGAGGCAGAGACAGATAAATACAGGGAGCTTATTGAACAGTCAAACTTGTTAACAAGTGAACTTTAGGTTCAATGAAGAAACCCGGTACACCACACACACACACACACACACACACACACACACACACGAGAGGGGGGGAGGTCTTTGTCAGATCCCATCTTTCCTCATGCAAGTTATCAAATCAGTCATGTCAGAAGATCAACTGATCCACCTTAAGTGGGACGCATGCTTGGCCTCACATACCAAATTCTGTCATGCAAGATCCATTTTGCTTCTGCAAAATCAAAGCAGCAAGCCCCATTTTAAAGGGAAACTTTCTTCTTTAAACATCAATATTGAATACAAAACCATCTCAAAAGTGAAAAGAACCAGGTTGTACATTAATAAAAAAGGATCACACTCATCGGCTCTCAAGCCAGATTGTGTAATAACATAATGGCTCCATAAATCAGTGCAACTACCCATTGCACCAACAACAGGGAGAAGAGATAGTTTTAAATCATCTCAGATGCTGGAAACATTACCTGCAGCCACTCAAGCAAGCTGGGAAGTTTATGTTTGCTCCCAAGGCTTTACACTGGATTATGGGAACTTCTAGCGCATGGTTTCACTCTGCAAGCAATCAGGAATCAGGATACATGCACATACATCCACATACATACACACATATACCTTTCTCATACATAACTCTGATAAAGTTCTTGTTCCATGTTACTACCACCAATACAGTATTTCACACAGAAATAGTTAAGCACACAACTGCTGTATTTTCAAGTGTGCACCTGCTCTATTGTTCCACCCAGCTCCCTCACTCTACAGATGTCTGCAATCTCCAAAGCATCATGTTGATGCATTTGAAAACACTCTACCTTCCACACATATGTGTCGTGGATACAGTGCACAGCAGTGAGAAGAAACAAAGAGCCCTATTAGGGTGACGAGTTACAGAGAGACAGATGCTAGACATAGTTAGGCAGAGGTGATCAATTAGTCAGACACAACCTCAAGGGAATAAAAGGGAAGAGAGATGGCACTGCCTTCATCTGAGATGGGGAAAGTTGTGGACGGAGGAGGGTGTTTGGAGGGTTTGGATAAACTGATAGGAATTAGAATCTCTAGGTGGAAATGACAGAGAGGCAAGCATAAAGTTCTGTCATTCTTGAAAGAAATGTGCTAAGACATATAAATTTGGGAGTAGTTGGCAAGAAGGTACACATGCCTATAGTCTTAGGGGGCTGGGACAGGTATTTAATTAAGCCCGGGAGTTGAAAGGTCACACGGTGAGCTCTCTTCTCAAGAATTAATAAGCAGGGGCTAAGGAAATGTTTTGGCACTTAAAGCGCTTGCCACACAAGCAAGAGGATTGGAGTTCAGATCCCCAGAATCCTCATAAAAGTTGTGTGGGTGTAGTTAGCCACTTGCCTGCAATTCCAGCGTCAGAACGCAGGGATCTGAAAAGCATGCTGGCTAGTGAGATTTCCCATATCTTTAAGCTCTGGATTTGACTGAAAAACCCTGACTCGGTGAATATGGTGGAGAGGAAAGAGTTAGATTTCTAACATCAACGTGAGATTTCTCCATATGTACACATGGGTATACACATACACACAAAGAAAATTGTTTATGTTTGACACTGATGTCACTATTAATAACTCAATATATTATTGTCACCTAAAACAAATATTATTAATAGCAATAATAAGCCACTCACGTACACATCATGTCACCTTGATTGAGTCAATGATCATATTCTTATCAAAAACTTCAATAAAATGGAGAAAAACTCCGTCCATCACTCCTTGTCAAGACGGGTACTCACTTTTTGTATCTCCTCATGGAATCTGAATGTGGCCATGGGCAACAAACCTGATCGCAAGTTCAGACACCAACAATATAGTTTTCAGATCACAGGCAACATGACATATTGATTATGGAAAAAGCAATAGTGGTTCCATGACACTTCACCAAAGGAACAGTTTAAGTGAAGCATGTTCCAGTTTCTCCCCCTGCCTTTCCTCTAAGTTCAAAATGCCCCCTACCCCATAGAAGCTGTTCTAATGATTGCTGGCACTATAGAAGGCCTAGGCAGTTTGAATGCTCACCTTACGAGACCTGGATAGAGGTGGGCAGTCCTTGGGCTTCCCACAGGTCAGGGAACCCTGATTGCCCTTCGAGCAGATGAGGGAGGGGGACTTGATCGGGGGAGGGGGAGGGAAATGGGAAGCGGTTGTGGGGACGAGGCAGAAATCCTTAATAAATAAATAAATTTAAAAAAAAAAGAAGGCTTCTAGGGGCTGGGTGGATACTGCAGGTTCTACAGCTGTGGATGCTGACGCGACCTTTAAAATTTGACCTCATTGAAAAAAATGAAAGCCACAATCCAATGATAGACCTAAATTAGAATTGTTGCTAGTACCCTATCCCAAACCTGTTGGCACAAGAGTCAAAGCAGAAAACTTAACATGAAATCAAATTAACAAACATTTCTTAAGCACAGCATGAGTGTAGCTTATTATAATTTGGAAAATTCCACAGTATTTATCAACTCCCAAGCAAGGCTGTGATGCTCAAAAGTGTACCACAGTAGACGTCAGTGGTAGCCACAGAGCTATGGCTCTGGGTGTGTTGCTATAGCAACTGTGTACTCAGCAGCAACATGCTGTCTGTTTCTCACCAGCCCAGAACCAGAAGCAGAAGAAAAAAGCTAGCTTCCTGATGGGAGCAACCCAGGGAGTCTGAACACAAGCTGTCTCCATCATTCCTGTGCACACACAGGAGACTTCCATTCAGCGGTCTGAAACTGTTTCACCTAACTCTTAGGGAAAAAAGTCACACAATTGCTTTTCTCTGCCACATAAACACAATCAACACACTTGAGCACAATGCATTTAGAGATATTTTAGGGTATCTGAGGACTGTCAGGATCATATATTTAGCTGGGCCTAGGTATGAGAAGGGGCTTCTCTGGAAAGGAGATGGAGAAGTGGCGAACCATTTGAAAAGTCATCCCGAGAAACATTCTTTAAAGGAGATATATATATATATATATACTCCTGAAAGTCCTCTGAAGTTCTCTGTGTTAGACTTGATGCCCAGGGTAGTACCATCAGGAGCTTGTAAAATCTTTGAGGTGGGAGAGCTGGTGGAAGGTCCATAGGTCATTGGCCATGTGCCCTTAAAGGAGATTATAGGATCCCAGTCCTACCCCGTCTCTGCTCTCCAGCTCATGAGGTAAGCCATTTTGTCCTACCGTAGACTCAAGTTATTCTGTTATAGTTATGAAAAACTGCCCAGCACAAGCGTGGTAAGAAGTAAGCAGCAGGGATGCCATTCCTGCAGAGGAGGGGAACTCAAAGGAGGGACGGCAAACAGCGAGCAAAAGGGGCCCTGACGTCATGAAGTCAAAGCCCACAACCTACTTTAGGATGTTCCACATTAAAATGAAGTCACACAGAAATTGTCCAACATACCTTTTCTACTGGCAGGAAGTCATTTTCTACTTCGATTGACCTTGGTCTCAGTTTAATTGGCTTGTCTTTGAAGATATCGCCAAAGCCCACTCCTTTGACTTTCTTGGGCTGGATGGCTACAGTTGCCACTGTCCCGTTGGCACCTTCGGATTTGGTACTGCTTGAATCACCCCCATCGCTCTCGGAGCCTGTGGTTTCTCTTAAGCCTGTCAACAGTGGGGATGAGGAGAGAAAGAGCTCAGAAATCAGCCAGAGGCCACAATAAAGAACTTCCCAGCCAGCCAGAAGCCATCTCTCAGAGTGGGACTGGGCTTCTGCACTGGGGGCACTGAGTATGCTGACTCAGGCTGTCTCGGAGCTTTGCTTGGTCTTCCTACCCCCAGACTTTAATTTTAAACAGTGATTCAAAATAACTTTTCAGAAACTCTAATTTCATGCTGATCTCGCTGTACATGTGACATTTGACATGCTTCAGTCAAAGCCTGGTTCTGATCCAAAATTTTTACCCATGGTTTGTGTTAATACCCATCCTTGCCACCCATACCTGGCCTTCCCACTCAGTAAGTACCATGTACTGTACCTCTAAATTTTCTGATTCATGTCAATTAGCAATTAACAATGAAAGTAACATTTCCTAAAGGGAAAATGTAAAGCTAAAAGTGATTCAAGAAAATTAGCAATTAAACCACACAAAATTATGACTGCCAAAGCCTTAAATCTCTTTGGATAGCTTCACAAGGAACAAATGCATGCAGGCATGTTCCTCTAAGAAAGCATTAAACTGAACTCGACATTGGGATAGTGTTTCTTAGAAAGATAATGGTGTTTGTTAAAGACAGAACAAAAACTGCCTTTCCAGAGGCCAGAATCCCAACCCTATGACTCTTCCTCCTTCCTCTACAACCACCATCTTCCCAAAGCTGAATTCTTTTCCAAGGGAAACACAGGGGCATGACAGTCTCCCTTTAACCTCTTGTGCCATATGTTGGGAGGTATATAAGAGAGTTATCAGCAAGACACTCAAAACATTTACCTCCCCAGACGCTTGTTCCCTAGGCTTTGCCAACATGCATGTTCCTAAAAAGATGAACCTAATTGAGTCTGTTAATTTCTGGGTATATATTCTTCCTTTAGTGGTCAGGATATCAATTATGCCAACAAAGGGAAGGGTTCAAAGGATATTTTTAGGAATATTTAGTACTGTCACTAAACCATAACTCTAAGGTTCTAGATGTGTAGGGTAGCTTCTGGCCATTTATCCACTATCTCCTGACCGTAACAACGCCCTTGAGGTGAAAGAATGTCATTAAATTTCTTTTACTAGTGGCCAGTTGTACATTAGCTTCCTGTGGCTACCTAGTCCACAGAAACGATACACCAAATAACTGTTCACATGGAATATCATAAAATGTTGAAGTCATTTAAGTGAGGAAGTCCCAGAGCAAAGAAAACCTGTTAAATACAAACGTAAAATATAGAAAGGTCATTAGAGATTACTAACAGCGTTAGGAATAAAAGCCTTAGAAAAAATGGTTTCCTTTGATGCTGCTATTCATCTTCCATAAAGTAGTATTTCTAAGCCAAGAGGGTGGGAGGGAGGAAGATAGCTGGTGCATATTTTAGTTAACTAAAGCACAGCATTTGTGAGCAAAAATCGAGGCCATAATAAGGAGGGGGCCAGCTGCACTTCATAGGACCCCATTGGTGTGTACAAACATGGAGAACCCCTGGATTAGCTATCTATTCCTATGTTTATCTGTTCATTGTTTCTGGGAATACCCTGCTGGAGATATAATTTTGGAGTCCAAATATTGTGTCATTCCCCTTTAACATGCTCTTATTTTGCTGTATGGATTCTTTCTATGTGATAAATGGCTTGCATATTCTTTTCATGTTTGGAAAGAACCATTGAGGGCGAAACAGTGTAAAGAAACCACATCATCTTCCATCACCTATCGCCACCACCACCTCCTCTGCCGCCACCACCACTCTCACCACCTCCTCCACCCCCACCACCACAACCACAAGACCACCACCACCACCACTCACCACCACCCACCACCCACCACCACCTCCACCTCCTCCACCACCAGCACCTCCACCTCCTCCACCTCCACCAGAATGCAGCAGGACAAATGGGGCAGAGAGTATCTATCTGGTTTAGTTCTTCAGAAAGAGGAATTCGGGGGGTTCTTCTGTAGCTCACCCTTAGCTACAGCTATAACCTGGTCTTCACTGCCACCCTAATTTCAGCAAGTTTCCGCTTGTAGGCATTTGCAGCCTTCAGGCTCATCTTAATAACTTCATATTAGTACTTGTAAGAAAAAGCCTATTATACAGGGAAGAGCGGCACAGTCATTCAGCCACACAAGCATGGCCTGGGAAGGAAACACACGGCAGATTTTTCTTCCAGAAATTCTGGCAGCCTGATTCTATAATTTTTGAGAATGTAAATTATACAGCTAAATGTTTGCATTGATGCAATAACTCAAAAATCTAGTTCTTTTCCTTGGAAGGAAAGAAACGTGAATTTATTTTCATGTGTGTTAGGTATTCCTTCTTTTGGTTACTTGTGACTATCATGGGTATCTTCTTATCATATTCATATTCCGAATGCTAGATGGCACTCTCAGGCAGTTCGACCTACAGAGTGGAATGTAGGCCAGGGCCATTTAAGGAAGGGCACATTATTGGTCCATGAAGAGGTAGTGTAAAAAGGTATGAGGGTTTAGAAATGACTTCAGCAATTCGACTTTATGCACTGGTGTGATGATTTCCAGATACCTGGTCAGGCCAGGGCATGGGGATGAACAAGGTCAGATCTCCCCACTGAACACAAGGAGCACACTGCAGGCTAAGTCCTATGCATTGTGCACTTGTTCAGAGTGGAACAGAAAGAAAAATACCCTCACTTCAAGCATTTGAGGGCAGTTCTGGTGCTCCTGTCTGAAGCTCTTTCATCACATGTATGTATATAGTTCATGGATATGAATATATGTGCACCACAGTGAATATTCTTCCCTCCCGATGCAAACAGAGTAAAGCCTCCTCAGATTTGCTTCTGCTAGTCCTATGGCTGTCCACTGTGGTACAATTCACCCTAGCTTCAGCACCCATCAGTTCCTGATTGTTTTAATTTGACACCTCCATGTGTAGTGCTTGGGATGTAACAAGAACTGTTCTACGGGCATCATGAAATTAATTCATACATCTCATTTCTTCAGCTTTTGGCAGCCTTATTTTACAATACAAAAGGCTGCCCATGGGTCCTGCCAAAAGAAGTCTGCCGTGTGGTGATTAGCTGGATGAGCAAAGCAACCCACTGTATCTGGCATGGACTTCCATGCCAAAATTTTCTTTCTTTGAACCACACAAATGACGAATGACCCATTTGGAAAAAGCAGTAGCTAGGTGAGTTTGATATCTCCACCAGAAGCCATCTTCCACTGCCATGACAAAAGCTACTGCTTCATTCTCTGCAGGCACGGTTCATGCACATATGTCATACACATGAGAAAGGCAGAAAGCGAACAAGACAGCGCCAGGATTGGTGGGAAGAATGCTCTTGTAGCCCACACCAAGGAAATGCCACTTATTGCAGGCAAATAAGCCCATATCCTTGGCTCAGAAATTCGCAGACACTGGGCATAAGCGTGGGCGGCTCAGGAAAAGCGCAGCTGCATCAAAAGCCACAGGTGCTCCGATCTTATCTTTATGATTGCCTCCTGCTTAAGGTCACTCACTGTAAAGGCGTCTGTGGCCCTCCGTCTTTCCCGGTGCAGCACGATACAGAATTGTCCCTTCAAAGGTAGTCTTTCCTGACAGTGAATGAGAGAAGAGAAGGGGGAGAGAAAAACAAGACAGGGGGCAGAGGGGAGCAAATGATAGCAAAAGAAGGAAAAAGAAGAGTCTTTAACTGAACTTGCCTTCATCCATGCAATTAATTAAAGACCATTAGGCAGAGTTTCAGAATGTTACAGAATGAGCCCAAAGTCCCCAAGTGATCACAATGGCAAGAAATAACCAGATTTGGGGCTTGCCTCTAAAATGACCGGCATGTATGTTGTGCCCAGTTAAAACTTGGAAGTCATTTCATATTTTAACTTAAGAATAGGAAAACCTCAATTAATCAGAGAGAATCCAATTCCCAGGATTATCCCATTAACTCAGTGGGCAAGTGCACTCTTCTCTTTGGAGAGTATGACCTACATAAAACAGAGCTGGCCTTTCTGCCTCTGTCTTTTATACCCGGAGCCCCACATGGTAAAAGCTGATATTCAAGCCCCAGTATTCTAAACAAGGCACAGAATCCTCGGAAAATTTGTTGGGTAGGGGTGTGGCTCAGTAGCAGATTATTCGCTAAGCACACATAAGGCACTAGGTTGGATCCCAGCATCATAACATGAGGAAATAGAAGATTTGTCACTTCTCAACACCTTCAAGAGAGACCAGATATTAACAAACTACAGGGGACATTTTACTGGTGAGATTTGAAACCAATAGTGGCACCCCTACCAACATGAGGGGATGTTTCGGTTTAGCATCAAGGATATCAGAGAAACCCTATTTCTTGAGACATCTTAATTGAGGTTTTGCTGTGTCAATAATGAGTCTGTACTTAAGCACTGAGGACATAGGACTCATCCAGCATCAAATATCATAATTTTTGATACAATATCATAGGACTGAACACATAGCTAAAGCCCAACTATCACTGGATCATAAGAGCACAGATGCATATATTGCTCCAATTTAAGTATACACATATCCACCCACCTTCCCAACACACACACACACACACACACACACACACACAACACAGAGAATATCACAAGATGGTAAGATGATTTGAAGAGTAATCCCAATTAATAAATGTATTATTAAAAGAAAAGTTCTGTTATAGCTCAAACAGGGAGGCAGGCTTATACTCTCAGAGTAAGTTGAGAAGTGCGAAGCATAGGCAAAGCGTAACAGGGAGTGTAACTGAAAGGGCAGAGAGAAGCTTCTCTCACGCCTTACAGACTCCGCTGTCAGAACAGGACCCCCTGACAGGGTCAGTTGCTAGGCCTTGTCACTCTCAATTGATGACACCAATTATAAATAGTCAGAATGCTCTAAATAGATTGTCATTCCCATGTGTTACAGAAATGGTAATATGCCCTGGTTTGGAAATCTGCCCTTTGGGTCATATGTGCTGCAGCCGATTCGAGTCAGAAGTTAGGCATTCAAGTCACTACCTATGTGTGGGCCCAAGAATAAGGTATGCATAAGCAACCTCAGCTGCCCAGGAAGCTGAGGCAGGAGGGTCCTTGGAGAAAAGCTCCGGCTACATATAGAGTTCCGGGCCTTGAGATGCAAAGTGATGTCATGTCTCAAAAAAATAATCACTGTCTACAGAAGAACAATCTAGGGAAGCAACAGAGTTTTGCAAACATGCTTCTTGAGGAGCTCCATGCCAAAAGCAGAGCAAGTTAGCAGCTAAGTTTTATTTGAACAAATTTTCCCTGACTTAACTTCCAGGAGGTCACCATTACTCCTAAAGCGCAGCTGCTGGTGTGAGAACAGGCCTTCTACAAATGAATAGCTGCAGTCTTCGCAGTGGCAGCAAGGAGGAGGAATAAGAGAAAAAAGTCAACATTCCAGTGATGCTCCTGAGTCCAGCCGGGCTTGCATGTGCTCTGCCGGAGGAGCTGAAAATCCCAGTGGCTGACAGGCCATCGTCCTGCTGTGTGCACTGTCACTCAGGCCACTCTGCAAAGTCCCCCTGCCCACCAGCAGCAAGGCAATCAGAGAGGTAACCTGGGCTAGGCTAGGGGAAGGATGCATAGGTGCTCTTACTTGAGTCAGGAGCGAAAGAGACAGGCAATCAGAAAGCTTATGCATATGAGCAATGTTTATCTTGCTGGGGGGAATATTTTACTAAGACCATTAAATATAAGGGTTTTTTGTTGTTGCTTTTATAGGCAGGGTTACTCTGTGTAGCCTTGGTTGTCCTGAAAGTCACTCTGTAGACCAGGCTGGCCTCAGACTCACAGAGATCCACCTGTGTTTGCCTCTCTAGTATGGGATTAAAGGCGTGAGTCACCATATTGACTTAGATATCAGTTCTTGAAGGCAGCAAAAACTATAGAAGGGAAGAGTTTTAAAATTCAGACACAAAACTCTATGTGTATGTCAGCACCTAACTCTTCCTGAAACTCCATTTTATCTACTGGTTAACTGCTATTCATTGCCAATAGAACACAAACCCAAACCCAATATCACTAAATACTAAAAATGATAAGTGTCTGGTGAAAATGCCTTTAATCCCAAAAATTCTATCTCTCAGAATATGGGAAACAATTGACAATGTTCCTATAGCTATAGGATAGTTTTTTTAAGGGGTGGGCTCACGTATTTCAGGCTGGCCTTAAACTATCTATGTAGCTAAGGACGACCTTGAAATTATGATACTCCTGCACTCACCTTCCCCAAACACTGGGATTATAATTTTGTGCCAACATGCCTAGCTTATTCAGGTACTAGGGATCAAATCCAGGGTTTTGTGCATGCTTGGCAAACATTCTAAAAACTCAGTTACATCTCCGGCCCAAGGACTTTAAAAAAGTAATTATAGTTTTAAAACAATTATTTGAAATTAAGTAGTATCAAAACTGTTAAAATGGAAAATTCACATATATTTAAATATGAGGCAAAATATAAATTGAAATTGGATCATAATCACATGTAATTTTTTTTTTTGGTCACTAAGTCCAAATAAATCCCAGAGCCAGGAAAATGTGTGATTATAATATTTGCCAATTAGCTCTATTTCACTCTATTTAGTCAGTGGGAGCAAATGCACAATTATAGATAAAAAGACAATTTAATCAACATGTATGATTGGGGTAAGAATGACCTCAGCTTTAGTCAGGTTTGAAATTCACCAGCTACTGGGTGAGAAGTTGACCTGCTTGTGTGGTGGAGCTGATGGCAGAATATGTGCAGGAAGCTGGCATGCCATTCTGGTCTCCTAACTCAAGCCAGGCCACAGCTGAAGTGGAATTACTTTGTACATACGTGTTGTCATCTGGTACCAGGCCAAAGAAGCACACCATGAATGACCACACCTGCTATCTTAGGACTTTGCACTCTTGAGGCATAGGTTTCTATGTTCTGTTTCAGAACAACGGAATTTACTAAAAGCCTTTTCTGTGTGTTTATTTATGTGATGTGAGAAAGTCCATTTCAGTCGTTAAAAAAAAATGTTTGTTGGGTTCCACTCTGTAAGCCCTGTCTGATCACTTCTTACTGATAATCAATGACAGCTGAGACCAAAAGGAAGACTGGACCTCATGACCCTCCTAGTAGAGCATCAAGGACCACCTAAGAAAATGTGAAACACATACACACACAATCTTAATCTACTCATCCCTAGATCTAATGATCAATCTCTTGAATAACAAAAGAGAAATGAAACTATCACAAGCCAGACAACGAGGAACTAATGGACAAAGAGCTCAGCTGCTTTAGAAATAGATTGTACAGAAGGAGGACCTATGACGGAGAAAGTGACAGATTCAGAGAAATTTAAAACATGTCAACCCATCACTGTGTATGTGCCTTATTTGGATCCAGATTCATGTCAACAAATTCCATACAAAAAAGGTTATTAGAGGATAGTGAACATGGAGTACATGTTGAATTATTTAAGGAATCGCTGCAATTTTGTGTGCATGTAGTAATGGTACTTTAAGAAACCCTTTTATTGATAAATATTAAAATATTTATGGGTGGAATTATCTAATGTCAAGGAGTTTCTTTAAGATAAAATAGAGCAGGAATGTGTAGGGACATAATGTCAACAAATTAGCCATAGGCTGAGAACTGATCAACTGACCAACAGGTACAAAGGAACTTTTTGCATTATTCATATTTTACCTATGTTTAAAATCATTGATAACTAAGGATTTTTTAAAAATATATTTTTGAAATGTATTTTTGAAAAAATACATTTAAAGTGTTACAAGCTCCAAGTATGGTAAAAAAAATGTTTTCAAATTTAAATATGCAAAAAGTTCTGCTACTACTCAACTATGGACCAACCCATATGACTATTAAAACTGTCCTTGGCAGAACAAATTATCCTGAATAGGAGTTATGAATCAAATGATATATGTAAAATTGTATGAGAAGCAAGTTGTAGAAATTTTTACCTGTCATTCAAGATAAAATGCTTTCCTGAAGTAATAATAGGCTAATTAAGAATGCATTAAACACCAACCATGTGGCACATAGTCAATGACATTGCTTCTTTTATAAGGACAATGCCAATGTTTCCTCTGTCAGAGTCATTTATTAATATACAAAACTCATAACTTCAGATATTATTTGCAAAGTATACAAATAAGAATGCATACATTCAAAGGAATGAGTGAAGCAAAGATGTACAAGAACATATTGTACACAATGCTCTCTCCATATCAGGATACAGATTTTAGCCCTCATCCTAATACCTGTCAGCACTTAAAAGAATATTTATGTGATATCATTGTAATCTCTAAAAATTACAAATACGGTACAAAGATTAGGATTTAACTTAGCTGCACAGTCATGTAATTAAGCAAGGATTATAGAAAAATGGATTGCCATTTACAAAGATTATTAAGTGGGTTGACCAAACAAAGACTCTGATAAAGTACATTTTGGCTCATAAAACACAAAAAAAAACTAGACGTTATGTGTACACTAACTACATTTTGTATTATCAATTATAGGACAAAATCAAATATGCATTTACTGTAATTATAGGCAATGTAATCACTGGGGGAATGTGGTGAAGTATACATGGGTCCTCCCCATAAAGTTCATGTTTATTTTTTAGAAATTCCTATGAATTACTTCAAAACAATAAAGTTTTTTTTTTCAAAAAAAGTAAAATATATCCAACGTCCTAACACTATTCTCTGGCGAATGGGGTAGGGAGAGAATAAGCAGACCACTCTAAAATCAAAGGTCTATTTGGATAAATCCCACCAATAGAAATATTCTCTGCAGCAATGTGGTCTGGTTAGATATACATTTTAGCACAATTTTATGATGAAGCAAATCATGAGTATGGACAAGTACTGAAAACCCTACCACAACACAGAGCAACAAAGACACTATTCTCACATCTATTCTTCTATGAATCCCTTTTTGGTCACTACAACCTACATCACCATGATACTGGCGTTATGGAATAGAAAATTGGTTGAACTATGTAAAGATGTGTTGCCTTTCTTTATGTAAAGATATATTGCTTTTATTTATGCTACATTTGTTTAACTATGTAAAGATGTATTGCTGTTTTACCTTGCCTGCCTAAGGCACCTGATTGGTCTCATAAAGAACTGAATTGCCAATAGCTAGGCAACAGAGGGACCAGTCAACCAGACGTGGAGGAAACAGGAAAGCAGGATGATGTAGATGAGGTAAATGAGCCTCGGGGCAGCACACAGATTAATAAAAATGGATTAATTTAGATTTAAAAAAAAAAGGCTAGCTAGAAATAAGCTTAAGCTAATTAGTCTCTGTGTCATGATTTGGGAGCTAGTTGAGGGCCCAAAGAAAATGTCACCTAAAGACTGGCCTCTCTGCCTTTGTGCCCCATTCTTCCTCAAATGGCAGCTCCTAGGGGACTTTCCTGAGCTTCTGGGAATATATGTGTCTCCTTTCTGCAAGGTGACTTGACTGAGGGAAATGTCCCTATCTGCATCTTATTTGTCTCTGACTCTTCAAGGCATCAACAAACGCCTTAGTAACTATAGGAGCTCAAAATAGATTTGATTAATGAAGAATAAAAAAGGAAATAAAGGAGAAGACAAAAAGGGATAGATAGATACAGACAGGCAGACAGAGATATGGGAACTGATTTGCTGAACTGTATACATAGGAAGATTACAGTAAATATTGTTTTGTTTTTTATTAGAACCATCCATCCTTGTTAGCTTCTCTAGGGACCTCGAATCCCTTGAGCAATAGACAGCTGGACTGAACATGGCCACAGACACCACTAGACTTCCCTTGTTCTGAAACAGAAGGCTAGTAATTGAGTTGATGCTCCAGGTAGGTAAAAGACAGCCAAATGATTGAGATCATTCCATTCAGCCAAAACCTCAAGTACCAAGAATTCCAGCACTGCACGCTTTGAGGGGGGAGTTCACTACAGTCACCTTTCCATGGTAATGACCTGGGATGCATTTTGGGGTACAGTTTGTTTCAATAGTTCCAAAATCTATGGGGTGTATTCCCTGAAACTCTTCACTTGTGAGAATATATAGCTAAGATGGTATGATGTGAAGACGTAAAGACTTCCCAGCGAGGTGGTCCCCAAATCTCCATCTCTGTATCAGTAAAAGAGTTACAAGGTACTTTTTAAATGCAGTCAAAATGCTACAGTGGCTATGGTAGCAAAGAGAAAACAAGTAGCAAAACACTAACTGGTCATGTCCCAAGTCTATCCTAATAGTGAGTCCTATCATTTACTGAGGACCTTCATATGTGAGGTGGTTCATATATAATATTGCTGTTGGAACTTAGACTTCATTTCTTCATGGAAGTAAAATTGTAATAACCTGATCTTGACCTCCCCAAAAAGCATATTTAATCTACAATATTCCAGAGATACAGCATTGTTAATGTGGAACCTAGTTACCAGGCATGATTCTATTCTAATGAACAAAAGAGTGTTCCAGAGCAGCTAAAATTCTACTGTGGACTCAGGGGAGGGGGCAAAATAAACTCTCACTGTTCTACTTATTTAGCTAGCCACAGTAGTGGAAAACCACAAGGCCTAGCTCACAGGTGAAAAGTTACCAAATACTTCAATAGCCATACCAATCCTCCATAATCTAGACTCAAGGATAGAATGAAGTCTGGAGCAGGAGGGTTCTTGAATTTTGGAAGTGGAAGGGAAGGGTCCTGCTACAGCCACTGGGTCAACCAGCCAGTACAGTTGCTTCTATGTGTGGCAGGCTTTATGACCCAGAGCCATTGCTGAGACACCAAGCAAAAACGGTCACCTAAGTACTTTTCTGGAGATAGCTTCAACTTCTGAATCAAACCTTTGTCCATCTATACTGCTGGGTGAATAAAGGAACACCAAGGCAACAGAAGAATACTATCTAAATAACAATTTTCCAAATGGAAAGAGACAATATTTCAGAATTGTTTTGCTAAGACTGGATTGTCCTCCTCTTTTCAGGAAGGAAAGACAGCAAGTAGCATCACACCACTATGACACAGGTCAGTCTCCTACAACATTCATGCCCATGACCTCAGCTCAACATGGCACAAGATAGACACAGACACCCACATGGAAAGTTGGGTTAGTGACTGGGAGAACAAAGCTTCCCGGTCCTGACCTTTTGCTCCATGAGCTGGAAAGGGTAGCAGAGAGGCTGGAAGGAAACCTTCAGGCCCTGGAGAAAAACACACCTGAAGTTTGTTCTCACCATTGCAAAAGGAACCACTTTCTCATTCAAGGTGAGGCCTGGCCTCTTGACTATCTTGTCATATATTCAATGGAGCTGGCATGCATTTATCTTGAACACAGTACCTTGGCACTAATAATTTTGCTGTATTTCCCGCAAGTTCATCAGAAGATACTAGGGAATACTGATCATCTCATCTCATTAAAAGATAATTACAAACTCACTGACATTCTAGAAGTACGGGGAGGCACAGCAACATGTACCACCCATGAGCCAGTACTACCATGGGTGAGGACTGGCACTCACTTATCCAGAGATATATAGAACCTATAGCTATAGATCACATCTATACGGTGATAAGATTACTAAATCACAGTGGGCAGGGTACTCTAGCCAACAAAATACCCACAAGCTTTTGTCACAGGCCTCTGGCACAGAACAATCGTTCATAAGGGAGGCTAGGCCAGAGCCTCGTGGTCTCCCCCTCTCCTGTTCAGTAGACTTCCTTACTTGACTTGGACAGCTGCTCATCCTGGGAAATGCCAAGCTCATCCGACTCCCCCGACAGCTCCTTGATGAAGTTGGAAGGAAACATTCCAGTCTTGCCGTTAAGTACACCTTCCCACCATCCTTCCTCTACCTGTGTGGAGGCAAAGAGAAGAGAGGTCCGAGATCAAGTTAGAAACAGAAAGTAGGTCACATGGCCCTTATGCAGACAGATAAGGGCGTTAGCCTGGAACCCAATGTAAGTGGGAAAATGTAACACTTCATTTTCGTCAACTTCGAACTGAAGTTTGGCATTTCCTTTGGTTATTAAAATAGGTAACATACCAGTATTAGAAGGACCTGTGACTCATCATGAAATAACTCATGCATATTTTCCTATCACATCATAGATGCTGTGAGTACCTCAAAAAATTATTTGTGCTACTTTAAAATGGTACAAATCATACCTGCTAGGTGGCATTTGTTATTCACTGTATTATGAAGGCATCACATATATTTCTATATCAAAATTTACTTTTATTTGATGTGTACTTCACTATAGTTTGCTTTGTAATTTTATGTGTTTTGTTTTATGAAAACCACTAATAAAAAACACCTGTAAATATAACCAGGCATGGTGGCATACATCTGTAATTCCATCACTCAGATGATACAGCAAACAAGACAATAGCACCCGTGACAGCAACCTGGGTTACACAGCTATATCAAATGGCTGGGAATGTGGCTCCTTAGGCAAATACTTGCCTAGTGTCCACGAGGCCTAATTTCTACTCTCAGTATGCCAAACAAACAGCAGAAAGGAGGAAGAAGAGGAGCAATGAGTGGAGGAGGAAGATGAAGAAGAGAAGAGAGGGAGGGTGGAAGGTTTTTCAAGAGAACCAAAACTAGACAGTTGAGAGAAAAAAAACCCTCTATTTTCAATTAAATTTTAAAAATGTAATTACAAAAAACACCTCGGAGGTAAGGACTTGGAAGGTAGAAAGATTTTCTATGGGTTCCTCCTGGGATGTGGGGAGAACCGGAGTACCAGAGGGCAGTAAGGTTTCAGTTTTACTGTAGGAGCTAGACCGGAAAAGCAGTGAGAACACACAAGACAGGTTCCGTTTTGAGGTATGAACTGGTCTTGATCAATGAGCTAAGGGCAAGTGAAAGAAAAACTGTTGGAAGAATTTGAGATGTCCGAATATTTGGTTAGCTTCTTGGAGGAAAACTAAGGTCATTCTGAGAACAAGCAAGTATTACACTACCAATAAGAAGTGGGGTGATAGAAAAAGGAGCTAGAGACTTTAGGATCTTTTCTATAGGCATATATTACCAATGCAAGCCAAACGCAACTTAAGAACTTAAATAATTCAAACAAATAATAAAGAAAATTAAAACTCAAAGCCCAGTTCAAATTCTATCCTGAAACTTAGCTGTATGAACTCATTCCTTTTTCTCCTGCCAAAATAAACCCTCTTCTCCATCTGCCTAACAGAGCTGGTTAACACATCTCAAGCAGCATATTTAATTAAGCATGACCTTTGTCTCTGTTAGAGGTGTGTGCATTATGGTCCTATGCTAGAATCTGGGGGCACAGAATCATAGATGATAAGTACCTATTTTTTGCTGAAGGAGGTGACAATCTACCAAAATAGGAAGGTGTGACTAAAGACTAAGGCTAGCAATCCAGGATAAATAGATGAGAAAGAGACCGTGACTCGGGGCAAATCAAACTTGTTACATGAAGATGAGCTCACTTAGAGCTGGGGTGGTAGAAGACAAATTTGAGAAAAGATAAATCAAAATTAAGGTAGGCCTTTAAGAAATTAGAAACAGTCGCTACAATTAGGGGAGATATGTTCAGGGCATTCCAGAAGGGAGAAAGAAGCTAATGAAGAGGGAATGGAGAAAACGGAAGCAGTACATTCAGGACGCTCGCTAGAAAAGCATTGAGATTTGTAGAGTAGGAGGCACATTTGCATGGCCACAGAATCTTAAGGGAAGAATGCACACAACAGCATCCATGTATGGCTGTCCTGATGATTATTCAGAATCAGTTCACTGCATTTAACACAATTTCCACCGACTAGCATGTCTATGTTTCTATGCCAACTCAGTTGGTGTGTATTATTCCTTCAAGAGGGTTTTGATAGGATTAAGATGGTTGGAAGGATTCATTGTGAGTCTGCATATCAATAGTCACAGGATTTGTAGCATGGGGTCCTTGTGCTAGCTCTAAATAAAGAACCATAAAATAGCCCCTTTCCTCTCAGGAATCACAGGGCAAGAAAAAACCCAGGGCAGGACTCACGACTGAGTGGCACAATCCCAGGCTGCAAAGGGAGCTGGACCAACTCCATATCTATTCAGTTTGATGATGTCTGAAATATTCCCATTCCTACTAAGCAGCTCTAGTGTGAGACACCAGGAAAACACTCCTGACGTGTAGGATCAGCAGCTGCCTACTGGGAAAACAAAGGTATCTTCGCCCTGCCACACCCCAGATGCTAGTATCCCTGTCATTGCACAGCCTGAGAGGCCTGTGGGAAAACAGCAGAGGTATATCATTAGCCACACAGTGAGTAGAAGTGTTGACAATAAAACCATCGCTCACCACCTGGGGGATACTCTTCCGATTGCAGCTTCCTTGGGCACAAGGGGTGTTTCTTTGTGACCCTGAGCCCTTCCTGTGGGAAAGCCTGGTACCAGAACCACTGAGAAGTGTGTAATACAATTTCTTCCTATAGTCTGCTGCTTTGGTCTCAAGATTAAGCCTGGAGATAGGAGAAAAATGATCCTTATTTTCAAACTAGCTCTCTTCTGAGATTTGGTTCAATTTCCTACAAAAAGACAAGGGCACTGAAGCCCAGCCCAGAACAATGGTTTCCCCCTAGCAAACACAGTACCAATGGATTCATGCCAGGCAAATCATGAAAAGAAATTCTATCAAGTCCTGATTGCTTCCCCAAAAGGTTTTTTTTGGGGGGCAGGCACTGGGGGAGGCAAAAGGGAACAAGAGATCCTTATTTTGTTACTGCTCTTCTGAATTAGGTCCTGCAATACCAACCATGTGTGGCCATTCCAATGATGTCAATGTTTACTAAACCATTATCCTGTACTGCCTTATGATGTTGGGATATATTCATTGGTGAACAAAACAGACAAAGATCTCATCCTAGAGCTTGAGAGATGGAGCCAGACTTGAAGTGCTTGCCATGGAAACAGAGGACTCACATAAAATCAAAATGTAGCTGTGCACACCTGCAGCCCAAGAACTGGGGAGGCAGGGATAAGAGGATCTTTGGGTTTTGCTGACCAGCCTCACTAGCTGAACTGCTGAGCTCTGGGTTCAATGAGACTCTCAAAAAATAAGGTAGAAAAGTGATTAAGGAAGATACATCTGGCAACTCGGGCACACACATGTGTACTCTCTCTCTAACACACACACACACACACACACACACACATCCTGGAGAAATTTCTGGAACAAAAGAGGAGAACCTGCACAGCTTGCATACCTTCTGCTTAGAAATCAAGATATCCCGTATTGATGCTTCTGTTTTTGAACACCGAAAAAGAACTGTGTACCCTAGCAATAAAGTATAGACTAAATCTGGTACCAAAGGTTCACAGCTTCTGCCCACAATAAGAGAGGGAGTAGAAGCCCACCTTATCCCCATGCCCACCCAATCCCAGCTCATCATCAGTCTTCTGTGAGCTTCTGGAATTAGGCTGAAAACAAACCCTAGCTGTGCCTTTCTGTGACCAAAGTGACTTACTTACGGCCCCATGATTGCCCCTAAAGCAAACCCTACTAATGGCTCATAGCTGGGACAAGGCAGTTTCCAAGTAGTGCTGTTTGGAAAAGGCTGCATACAGACAGTTTCCATTCCAGCACAACTTCCATGTCTTTACAAGGAATAGCCTTTATATAGGTTCCAGGCTTAAGGAAGTAATTTCTCTATCGTATCCCTATTGGAAGCTGAGGAAACAGCAGAGTCAATTTCAACTCCCAGCCACCAGCCAGCCGTGCAGACATCATCTACATCTGTGAAGCAGGGAAGATGCCTGGGAATGGAAAGGTGAAACGCTTTCCCCAGGATACTTCTCTGAACAAGTCCTGTGTGAGTGTTTGGTCAGACGCATTACCCCAGCTCCCTAACACCCCTTTATACAAAAAGTCTGAAATATTTAGTCAGAGGCCTCATCCCAGCCCCCTGGCATCCATCTCTGGAATACTGGGCAGAGAACTCCATTTCAAGCCCCTTCCTCTGGGGGTTACCTTAGTCCAAACTCCACCTCTAAGAATGCCCACCAAATGGTGACCCCTCTGCAGGGAGGGTCAAGAAAGCCTGCCAAATGATAGTCCCTCCTCAGGGAAGGTCAGGACCACTCCCACGGGCTATTTAAACTGCCCCCCTCCGTGAATGAACGTCTATCTCTTCAGCCCTCCTCCAGCTTTTACATTGGTGTCTTTTCATTGCATTCCCAGCATCTGCTTCATATACTCCACACTCATCCCAAACACATGCGCACGGGTGGCCTCTTCTTCACCCCCATGTGGGTTTCCTGCTTTCGCCTCCTTGCTCATTTGTCAAGTTCATCATCCGTCACCCCTTTTAGATTCGTAGCTTCTTGTGATGCTCTCCACAACTACTGAGGTTGTTTCAATGTGCACATTCTGATCAATAAATCTCCGAGTCTCTATAAATACAGCCTCTTGCATGGTGAAAGCATTTAAATATTTGGGAAGTTTCATAGTTATCCATGTCTGCCATAAATATATCTGAACTCACTTTCAGTTGTGACTTGTACTACATGCTGATGATTCAAATATAACTGCTTTTCTTCACTTGAGGCTGTTGTTACTTGAGATCGGGTCTCATTTAGCTTAGGATGGCCTCAAACTTACTGCTGTAGCTAATGAGGACCTCAAATAACTGATCCTCCTACCTCCGCCCAGATGTTGGAATTATAGACATGCATCACTACACTCAGCTTACTGTCTCTTCTAAACATGGCATCCCTACCCATAGTATGAATGCTCCAGGACCTGAACCCACTAGGAAAATAGATGTGTTCCCCACTAAATTAAACAGAGACAACTGTAGAACAGCTGGAGTTATTTAGATGATCAAACTTCAATACCAG